ACCGTGAGTTAAATCACACTTGGATCGATATTACCCGCCCAACTTTGCCGCTGTCCCGTATTGGTGGATTCAATATGAGCGGCGAAGCTGGGCGGGTAATATCGATTCAAGTGTGATTAAACTCAGGCAACAGCCATTAATTTTCCAAACGGTAAATTGACTAACTTAGAAGATGTTAGTGATATCGTTGTGTGTTGAAACTATTTTCGGCAGATCGGACTATGTGCAGCATCAGGAGTTTTAAAACCTGTCTATACAAGCAAGCGGATATGCTGACCCAGGAGGTAATTAAGAAGAAGGAGGAGATTAGGTTGCTGGGACAATATTTTTATTCGCCTGACGTTTCGAGATCCGTCGCGGATTCTGCATCAGAGACATCAGCCGAAAACAGTAGCAATCCTTCTGCTGATGCATCTAATTAGGAATCGGTGACAGAGGTAGACACGTCAGGCCAAATAAAAGTGCTGTCACAGCCATCGAATCTTCTTCTTCTTCCTATTCTTCTCAGTTTAGTAACCTTCATGTATGCAGCATTCACTGGCTAAAATACCTCTTGTTTTTTGGATCAAAATGTTGTCTTTGAATGCCAGAAGTTTTTTTAGGAAAACAAACTTTCTGCCTCACGGTTGTGATTCCCAGTTTCCATCAGCCTGAATATTTCGGAGTTTTAACAGCTATTATATTTGTAGTCTGTTTAGCATATTCTACAACCTTCTCAAATTTACGCATTATTTCTCCATCTGACAAGATAAACCCTCAAGGCAGACACTGCACGAACTGTTAAAACTGACGGAATATAGACTAACTGTAATGTGCCATGCTATTAACCGGTTTTTGTTGTTTTCCAACTTGACTGCCTGCATTTAGCGAAGAGCAAAGCAGGCTAGAAAGTCACTTTTAACAGTCCATATACATATAGCTGTCAGCAAAATGGCACAGAAAACGCCCTTCTTGGTACCATCCGCTTTCCAAGCATTTTAGTGCAAAACGCAAGAATGTAGAGCCGTTTCTCATGTAATAGCACCCAACATAAAAATTCCTTTCGGTCAACTGTGACTTAGCGGGCCATTAGTTTCATCCAGTCTGCGGCCTTCAAATGCAAGTGATAAGGCGGGTGTAAGTGGGGCGCCAGCAAAATAGACAGAGATTGTGCTCGACTGTGAAGGTATGGTTGACAGATCTTCTGTAAGAATGCATCTTTTACTCTGAAAAAAAGGCCTCTCGGGTGGCTTGCGTCGAGTTCTGCACAACAACAACAATGACTGTTTCTGTTTACTCCCTTTTTTTCTTTCCTCTCGTGGCAACGCTAAAAACGGGCTTAGCATGCCACGCAGACGCAATGGTCGACATCACGTACACTTGGCCAACGAAAAGTAGAAGTTCAATTTCTAGTTATAAGCTTTTGATTATTTTTGTAAAAACTGTCAAATGTCTAACCGAACAGCCTACCTATTAAGCTGTGGGCGTAATTGGACAGAAGCCCTGCCCGTAATCTAAACGATTTCAAAATTTTACGACAATCTGTGAAAGATAGGGAACTTGTGCATCGAGAAGGGGTTTGGTGCGTGCAGTACTGGGCTATGTAAATTCCTTGCTTTTTGCTCGGTTAGCATAAACTACGTTAAGTACTCTAAGATCACCAATCATGCCGATTGTCTGCCGTACCTGGATACATATAATTAGTAAAACTGATTACTGACGTATGAGAGAGAGATGTCTGAAACGCAATTTAGGTCAACGCCAACGATAACGGCACGTTCGAGGAAGCCTGTCACGGGAATGGGGACCTTATCGCAAACCTTTCCATGTTGATATCATTTGTAAAACCCCTATTCTTTATGGGTAAACAAGCTTCAACTAAGTTGCACAGAAAATAAATTTAACTAATCAAAATGTCGGTCAAACATGCTTTGTGACTTCGAATTCAGTTAGGCGTCTGACAAAAGTAGTCTATGTAGTGCACATCATATACCCCTAGTTCCAGCATTTTGTCCTACGGAAGCGGTGGTTACAGGGTTCTTAGGGTGGGAAAATTGGATGCGTACAAAAAAATTGTCAGAAGTAAGTGAAAAGTTAAAAAAAATTGTAGTCGAATTTGTTTCCCACTGCCGCTGAGCGTAGGTTGTTCTGCATGTAACTTGAAGGTATGCGAGGGGCCTTGCGCCACGGACTATACTCATCTAACTGCAGAACGGAATGATGGACCTCAGATAAGTTGATGTAGACGCCCATCTAATCACCATTTTTTAGGAAATTCAAGAAACCTGACATATAATAATCGGGTTTTTCCGTAATACATTAAAAAATAATATGGATGGGGAAAATCTACAGATTTAAATCAACAACAGATCTAAAAACAATAAGATTAAATGCATATAGCAGTTATTAAAGTATATTCCACTACGCATCCTAATTCTCCACCCATAAAACTCTAAAGCATCGTTTTCTTAGAACAAATGCTGGGACTAGGGATTAATGAGGTGCACTACATAAACTACTGCTGCCAGGTTTTCCGCCATATGTTCCCTTTCACGTGCAGTTTTGCATCACAAGCGGGCACTAGGATCTTCGGAAACGCAGTCATAGTCTTTTAATGACGTCAAAAAGGATCTTTGCGGTATTCTCGCGCGTTTACCGCGACGCAACGTAAACTTTATAATCTGCAAAATACGGAAACGAATAACAACGCAGAATGTATCAACATGTTTAACCTACTATTTGTAAAGAAATGAAAAACCTTAGCATAGCTTGATTCACCATACCGAGAGCCCAGACACATTTTACAGCCGTATTCCGCCGCTGTATGACGTAAATGCGAGGAATTCGGTTCGTCACTCTTTCTCCTTCGCGCTTTCTGCC